AAGACTGAAATCACCATTCTAAACATGGAACCTGTGAATTGCATTATGGGAGAGGAAAGGAGGCAAGGAATAACAGTTTATTTATTATTTATTTACTAGCCGTCCCCTGCCACGCATTGCTTTTTTTTTTTAATTTTTATTGGTTTATCACAATTGTTACATACTATTGCATTTTATACATCAGCCTCTTTAACATGTTATTTTGTTGATTTACCTTGACATTTCCTCCCCTTTTCTCTTTTTTTTTTTTCCTTCCTTTTTTTCACCTCAGTGCTCCCCTCCACCCGTCTCAAGCCACATTTCTTACATTTCATCTGTCCAAAATTTCATTTCTTCTTGTGACGGTAATTTTCCTTCCTTATTTTTTAATCCATTTACCACAAATTTTCCCCATATAGCATCAAAATCACTTTGTTTCCATATACCTTTTTTAACCTTTAATATACATGTCAGTTTGTCATTTAAAGCTATTTTCCATGCTTCCTTATACCACTCCTCTATTTGTATATTCATTTCTTTTTTCGAATTCCTTGCTATGAGCAGTCTTGCTATAGTTAGTAAGTTTGTTATCGCTTCTTTATCCTCCTTTTTCCAATTGCTTATTGGTATATAATGATAGTAAGGCTATACTAGGACTTTTGTCTATTTTCATATTCATTATAATTTCTATTTCTCTAAATACTTTCTCCCAAAAATTATTTACATATTTACATTGCCACCACATATGTATATATGTTCCTGGTTCTTGACACCCTCTCCAACAATTTATTGAGTATTTTTATTCATATATGCTATTCTTACCGGTGTTAAAAACCACTTCCATATTAACTTATAATAATTTTCTTTAACTCGTATCGATAAATTTTTTAAATGTCTTTGTCCCCATAACTGTTGCCACTCTATTTCACTTATTTTTATCCCTAAATCCTCTTCCCAAATCTCCTTAAGGGTACACTTTTTTATTTTTCCATCCTTCATTTCAATTAATATCTTATAGATTTTGCTAATTATACCTCTCAAGTTTTCATGTTCTTCTACTGCCCTTCCCTTCTGTATTATTTGTTCGAATTGATTGAGTTGGCTTCCATTTCTATTATTTTTTTTCCAGTTTATTAACCATTGTTCTAATTGTATACAATGAAACCATGACAATTTTATTTCTTTAAACTCTTCCAACATCCTTTCCCTCTTCATTTCCACTTTCATCCAATCCCCTATCCTATCTAAATTTATTTCCCTTACCTTTTTATCCATTGCTTTTTTTAATTTTTTGGGGAATTTCTTTTCCATCACTATTGGGGTTATAATTGATCCTTCCTTTATTAACCTCCCCTTGTATTTATTCCATACTTTCAATATGTTACTCAACATTGGGTTTCTAATTTCCCTCAGTTCTTTTCTAGTAAGCTGTTTAAAAAATATATTCCAAGTTTCATCTTCCACTTTTCCTGAATCATTACTAAGCCAATCTATTCCCTTTTTTTTAACCATTCCTTCTATAACCAAATTTAGTCTACTTGCATCATATTTTTTTTATATTAGGTAGTGCTAGTCCACCCTCCTTTTGCGATCTATACCATAGCTGTTTGTTTAACCTGTTTCTTTTACTTCCATTGCAATATTTATTAATCATTTGTTGCCATCTAATTAGTTCTTCTTCTGTGATTTGAAGTGGTAGCATTCTAAATATAAAATTTATTTCTGGAAGTATTTTCATTTTTACTAATGCTATCCTTCCAAACCAGGATAATTGTATACCTTCGTACTCTGTTAACTTTTTCTGAACTTCTTTTCTTAAAGTTACTACATTTACTTCCTCTATCTCTTTTAAATCCTTAGTTATTATTACTCCCAAGTATTTTAATTTATTCTTAATTCTTATTCCCATTTTCCTCTGTTCTATAATTTTTTCTTCTTCTTCTCTTGTATAATTGAGTAGCATCATTTCTGACTTGTTCCAATTAACTTGTAAACCTTTTGCTTTCCCAAATGTCTCCAAATGTTCTTTTATTCTATCTATTTTCTCCACTATATTTTCTATAAATAACAATGTATCGTCAGCGAATAAGCTCACCTTCTGTTTCTCCTTTTTTCCTAATCCTTCTAAATTTTTATCGTTCCTTATATTGTTAGCAAAAAGTTCTATCACCATAGCAAATAATATCGGGGACAAAGGGCACCCTTGTCTAGTTCCTCTAGTCACTTTTATTTCGTTTGTCACTCCATCATTTATAGTTATCACTGCTGAGTTCTTTGAATAAAATTGTTTTAGTACTCCTTTTATTTTATTTCCCATTCCACATTTGTTCAATATTTCCCCTAGTGTCTCCCATTCCACACAATCGAACGCTTTAAAAATATCTAATGATAGTATCCCTGCTTTTCCCTTCCCCTCTTTAGCCCAATGAATTTTATTTAGTACTCTCCCTATCAAATTTGACATTTGTCTTCCTTTTATAAACCCACACTGATCTTCTTTTATGTACTTATACATACATTTATTCATTCTATTAGCTAATATCGCGGACAATATCTTTGCGTCCTGGTTTATTAATGATATGGGCCTGTATGACCCTGGATCTGTTAAGTCTTTGTCAGGTTTGGGTATTAATATTATTAATGATCTCCTCCATGAATCGGGTATTTTATCTCCCTTCATTATTCCATTATACAATTCCAATAATTTTGGGGTTAAAACTTCTCTAAAGCTTTTATATTCTTTTCTTTTTCTTTTCTTTTTTTGCTTTTTAATTTTTTATTTTTTTTGTTTTTTGGATTTTTTTTTTTAAAAAATCAATGTTTTTTTTTTGTTTTTTATTTTTGTTTTTTTTTTTTTTTTTTTTAACAATTCTCCTAAAGCTTTAAAGACTCTTTTCCTATAAATTCCTGCTCACTTTAGTTATAAAATTCCTCAAATACTTTCAATTTTTCTTTCATAGCTCTACATAATTTACCTGTTTTATCTTTTATCATGTTTATCGTTCCTTCCATTTTCTTTTTCTGTGTTGATTTGGCTAGGATCTTTGAATTCCTATCACTAAACTCAAAATATTCCCTCCTTAAATAAATTAAATTTTCTTGTACTTCGTCTATTTCCATTTTATCCAATTCCTCTTTTTTTGCTCTTAACCTAGCATAAATTCGTGTATCTCTCTTTATTACATATGCTTTTTCAATCTCTTCTATTTCTCTTTCTAAATTCCTTTTCCTTTCTTCTTGCCTTCTCTTTAAATTAATTGTCTCTTTTATACATAACCCTCTGGTCACTGCTTTCATAGTGTCCCATAGAACTCCTTTTGTCACCCCCTTTTCGTTGAAGCCCCATATTTCTTGCCATTCTGCTTGCACTTTATCTACTATCTCTTTATGATTTAGTATTCTTGTGTTTAACCTCCACCTTTTCATTTCATCATAATCACATTTCAACGCAATCTCAATTGAAACCAAAGCGTGATCCGAAATCTTAATCATACCTATATCAGCATTTAGCACTTTACTTGTCATATTTTTGGAGACAAAATATAATCAATTCTTGTATACACCTTATGTACTGATGAATAATATGTATATCTACTTTCATTCCCTTTTACCAATCTCCACACATCCTTTAATTGCCATTTATTCATTACTCTGCTTAATTCCGTTGTTTCAATGTTTCTAGCTTTTGATGCTATCGTAGTTTTATCCTTCTTTAAATCCATACAGCAATTACAATCTCCTCCAAATATTACATTTTGTTGATGGTAATTCTCTATTTGCTCTAACACTTTTTCATAAAATTCTTGCTGTTTCACATTTGGTGCGTATACATTTACTAATACATATTTTTCCTCCCCTATTTCCCCATATATTATTATATATCTTCCCTCTTCATCCTTCAATACCTTGTTTATGACAAAATTACATTTCTTTGCTATTATTATTGCTACTCCTCTTGACTTTGATGTCCCAAAAGATGTTTCGTAGTTCCTTATCCAGCTCGACTTTAACTCATTTGAGCCCCGCTTATTTTGATGTGTTTCCTGTAGGAAGATGGCGTCCGCCGCGTCCTTCTTCAGTAGTTGCTACTCCTCTTGACTTTGATGACCCAAAAGATGTTTCGTAGTTCCTTATCCAGCTCGACTTTAGCTCATTTGAGCCCCGCTTATTTTGATGTGTTTCCTGTAGGAAGATAGCGTCCGCCGCGTCCTTCTTCAGTAGAGATTCGATCCGCCTTCTCTTAATTACCGTCCCCAACCCCCTCGTGTTAAGCGTTGAAATTCTTAATTTATGGGACATCATTTCCCTTTCCCTTTAAAAGCTTTTTTGTGGCTTGAAACCACGTGAACCCTTGACCCTTCCCCTCCCCTACCCTTACTCCCCATTCCCCCCTCCCCCCAATCCCCCCACTTCCCTCATTCCCCCCTTCCTCCCCTTCCAATCTTCGGGACTTCTCGTCCCAATCATGGCCCCCGGCCTTCCCAATTGGGGAGGGGGGGGTGAAGTCATCCCGTGGCCCAGAGTCTCCCTCCCCCCGAGTGCTCATTTTAATTCAACAAAAAAAAACTTGATTGCAGTGTTTAATTTCTTCTTACATCTCGATTCCTCCAACGGCACCAATTAATTCCTCCAGTTCTCCTCCGTCCGGATCCTTTTCCTCCTCCTCCTTCCGATCTCTTTCTTGTCTTCTTACTATTCCAAGCTCCTCCAGTAATTGATAACCTTGTTCC